CACCACCACCACCACCACCACAAAAAAAAATTACTGAACTGATTCAATTTTCTCTTTTTTTTCCTCAATTAAAGAAATTAAGATTCCCAAAAGTTAAGTGAGAACCAGAGATATTAAAATGAGATTAATAAAAAATGAGAACAAATATTTACCACAAAAATGTAATGAGAATCTAGCAATCCCAAAAATACAGAAAATAAGCAATGAAACTAAATTACAAAAAATAAGAATCACATCTATTTCTCGGCCTACTCTGTTAACATCTCACAGCTATAATAATAATTATTATTTACTAAGAATATCATGTGCAAAGCACCATAATAAATACATTTCTCCCCCTGAGATAAAGTCTTGCTATGTTACCTAGGCTGGCACTGAACTCCTAAGCTCAAGTGATCTTCCTGCCTCAGCCTCCCAAGTAGTTGAGACTACAGTTATGTGTCACCACACTCAGTCTCATGTTACATACTTTAAATACATTTAACTATCAAAATAATCTTATAGCTATGATTATACTCGCTTTATTAATGAGGAAACTCAGATCCTGAAGAGTTATGTCACTTATTCAATGTCACAAATCTGTAAATTGTGTACCTTGGCTTAAAATCTAAATTTATTCAATCCCAAGACTATGATATTTCCACTATAACTATACTTCCTTTCTGTTCAATAATATGGGTATAGAAAAGTTTTTTGCAGGTAAATAGCAGTCTATACTTATCTAGATATTTTTATCACTTCAAAGGAACACTTATACTAATAATATTCATTAGCTTTCTTTAACACAACTATTTATTGATTGATTTCTACATAAGATTAAAAAAACAAAATCTACACAAAACCCAGAAACACAGATATATTTAACACAAAACATGCACTCCAAGAAACAAATGTTTATTATGTTTTATTAATAACTTAATTTTCTTTCTTTTTTTAAATGTGGTGCTGAGGATCGAACCCATTGCCTCACACATGCTAGGCAAGCACTCTACCACTGAGCCACAACCCCAACCCTAGGCCTATTATAGATTTTAATCTACTAGAGGAGATCATAAATGCACTCTCAGGGGAATAATTCTACATAGCCAATGTCTGTTTTTGTAAGTTTGAATTATCTGTATTGATGTGCCTACACTTTTTCAAAGAATATCATATATCTATATTCACTGGCATTTAGTAGTAATGTTTCTTTAATTGGTCATTCACTATAGGCTTATTTAGCTGCATCTACAAGTACGTATAAGTTATTCATGATGAATATCTCCTATTTCATAAAAAGTGGCTTTAGAAAAAAAGGACAACTTGCCAGGTACAGTGGCACACCCTTTATTCCCAGCAATTCAGAAGACTAAAGCAATTCAATTCTCAGGACCACAAATAAAGATATTGTGTCCACCTAAAACTAAAAAATAAATATTAAAAAAAGAGTTATGGGGCTGGGAATGTGGCTCGAGCGGTGCCACGCTCGTCTGGCATGCGTGCGGCCCGGGTTCGATCCTCAGCACCACATACCAACAAAGATGTTGTGTCTGCCGAGAACTAAAAAATAAATATTAAAAATTCTCTCTCTCTCTCTCTCCTCTCACTCTCTCTTAAAAAAAAAAAAAAAGAGTTATGATAACCACAGAAGGCTAAAGCAAGCTCGAAGCCAGCCCCAGCACCTTAGAAGCCCTAAGCAACTTAGCAAGACCTTGTCTCAAAATTAAAATACCTGGGGATGTAAATCAGTGGTAGAACCCTTCCACCCCATACTGGGTTCAATCCCCAGTAACAAAAAATACCAAGTACAACTTTAAAACTACTATTTTAAATTAAAGAATTTGTTGTGATTGGCATTGTAATTTGTAATTTTTCCAGTAAATCTACTTTTTTTAGTAAAAAGTCCAAATCTTCTATTGCATTAAATACCTTAGATGCATGCTCTAAGTACTGTTTTCCTGCAGACATCTGAGTAAGCAGACGAAATTTGTTGTCCTGAAGTACATAGATGCCCTATTTCAAAAATACAAAAAAAGATTCAAAGTCAATTTAGTCTGTAGTCCTTAAAACCTATCTTATTCCTATAACAACTTTAAGAATATTTTGTTATTAAAATTCCCCTTTTCATTGGTCAAATTTTCTTCAAATGAAAGAATTTCACAATGTTTAAGCTTAAGGGGTTGAGTTCAGCAGTTGTAGCACTAATATTTACTAAATATATCAATACACTGAAAATACAAAGAGGTATAAGACACAGTCCCTAATAATTCAGAGTTGGGCTGGGAATGTGACTCAGTGGTAGAACACTTGATTATCACAGGTGAGGCCCTGGCTCTGGTCCCTACACAAAAGGTAAAAAAGCACTTAAGAGTCTTATGTAATCACTAGCACTCAACCATACAAAATTATTATATGCTAAGAAAGTTGATAAATGGAGTCACTTCTTGTTGGCATTTCAATTCCAGACTAAGTTTGGTACTGTGAAAAAAATGAATTCTACTAGTAGTATTAAATAAGCTGTTTCCATTTTTTATACTCCATTGAAATGCTAAATCCACTCTAAATATGCCTTTAAAGTTTATAAAATAAAATCAATCTGTTTTGTTGTTGTCATCTGGGGTTTTTTGTTTGTTTTTGTTTTGAAGTACTAGGGATCAAACCCAGGGCCTCATGCATGCTAGGCAAGAACTCTACCATGGAGCTACATCCCCAGCCTCCAAAATCAATGCATTTAAAGTTTTCTATGTACTCTCCTAATTGTACAGTAACAAAATCTTTCAAAAAAGAAAAAAGAACAGCAGTAATGAACAATACAAGAGTTACTTAAGATATACGTACTCCAAAAATCAGACAATGGAAATTACTCTAAAGACATAAATGTGAAATATTATTACTTACTAATAATAACTAAGAAAACAAATCCTAAAACCAGTATCATTCTGACGTATGCTGTATTTTATAATTTAACATAACTTATGTAATTGGGGGGATACCTATAGTTTACTGATAATTGCCACTTTATCTTTATTCACTTTATCCTACCAGAGGAAAAAAAAAACTAACGACCTAAATAACATCAGAGAAACATTCCAAAAGTTAAGAAATTATTTTTTAAAATAAAACTGATAAACAAAGGCATTTACATTAAAGAATTTTTTTAAAAAGCCCTTAGTTTATCTGAATACCTGATGATTTGTCCTTAGATTGTCGATTTGTTTCTTGAATACTGTAGTCCAAAAATCTTTACAAATGAACTTCATGATGCCTAACTCATCCTTGAACCTTGCAGTATCTTTTGTAAACCTAAAAAGATCAACTAGAAGTAATACAATACTTTTCTTCCAAAGAAAGTAAAGGGATCCAAACATATTTTTCCCACTCTTCCCAAGAGGGGCAAACTATGAACTAATTTCCAAATGCCATAATAGCACTGAACATTTATTGAAAGTCATAAAGTTTTAAACATCAAGCAAAATAGATTTCAACATATTCACATATGTTATGGGGTCTATCAGTACATTAGTTATTTGTCTAACAGTAGAGCCAAAATTAAGTACAATCAGTCCAGAACAAAAAAACAACAACAACAAAAAAAAAAAACCCCACTGAGCTTAATAATAGTATTGTACATAAAATATAATCAGAGTTCAACTATTCTGCTGGGAATGAATGTTGGCACATGCCTGTTAATCCCAGGCTGAAGCAGAAGGATAACAAGTTCAAGGCCAATGCAGAAAACTTAGTAAGATCCTGTCTCAAAATAAATAAATAAAAAGGGTGTGGTATATAACTTACTAGTAGAGCAGCACTGGGTTTAATCCCTAGTATTGTTTAAAAAAAAGAAAAGGAAAGAAAAAAATTAACTATGCTGCTATTGATTAAAACTAAAAAAAAAAAACCTATCTATAAATTAGAAGATTATTATATGTATAAACAAAGACTTAAGGCATTTCCATACCTACACTTTAAACAAAATTTCATTCAGGTTTTTTTTTAAAAAACCCTAGTAGGCCTTAAGTAAAAAATGCAGTGATGCCAGGAGTGGTGGCACACACCTGTAATCCCAGCAGCTTGGGAGGTTGAGACAGGAATGCGAGGCGCTAAGCAACTCAGTGAGACCCTGTCTCTAAATAAAATACAAAATAGTGCTGGGGATGTGGCTCAGTAAATGCCCACGAGTTCAATCACTGGTACCGCCCCCCAAAAAAAGCAATGAGATTTTAAGCAGTTATTTCAAAATACCAATATTTTCAGAAAAAATATTTAGATGTAAAATGTTTCTTGAATTATTAGGACTTAAAATTTGAATAACCAAGTTAATCTTGCACTAGATCTTCAAATGATTCTTTTTTCTTGGGGGGGGTGCTGGGGATTGAATCCAATGACTTGTGCATTTTCTACCACTGAGCTACACATGTTCTACCACTGAGCTACACCCTCAGCTCCTTAAAAAAGAAAATTTCAACTGTGAATTAAGGAACAGAGAAAAATGAAAATATCTTAAATTTTATGCAATCTTTTGAATGGACTATCATTATTCATAACCTACCTGAAAGAAAATTTTCAAATCCATACTGCTCACCTTTCTATCAATCCTTGTCCTACTCGAAACCCCATGTTTTCCAGTTTAGTAATACAACGTCCATTTTCCTATTTTAAAAAACAACAGTTATAAATACTTTTAGTTCTTTTTTGTTCATTTGGTACCAGGAATTTAACAACCCAGGAGCACTTAACCACTCCGTCACATCCCCAGTCCTTTTTAATTTTTGAGACAGGGTCTCACTAAATTACCTAGGGCCTCGCTAAATTGCTGAGGCTGGTTTTGAACTTACAATCTTCCTGCCTTAGGCTCCCAAACAGCTAAGATACAATGAAAGTGCTACCATGTCCAGCTATGATTACTTTTAGAAGACTAAGATGTTTGTATTCAAAATTATAAAAATTACAGCTAAAGGCATGATAATGTAGATTGCATGGAAATCCTACAAATCTGAAAAATACAGGAGAGTTTTTAATTTCAACAAATACATTTAAATTATTTAAAAATTCCCACTGAAGAGAATATTATAAAAATGCAAGTAATATGGAAAAGCTTGATGCAAAGTAATTCATGTATATAATGCACCAGAAAATTCACAGCATGAAAGGAATGTTATAATGGTGATAATTTAGCTAGATGCATTGGCACACACCTGTAATTCCAGTGACTCAGATGGCTGAAGCAGGAGGATTACAAGTTCAACCCTCCCCCCCAGCCCCAGGCTACTTAGCAAGACCCTGTCTCAAAATAAAAAAAAAAATAAAAAGGGGCTGGCATGTAGTAGTATGTGGGAGGCCAACCTTACGGGTGACTAAGTTACACTCCCCAGCTGGGTGCTGAGGCGCTCAGTCACAGAAACGGGTGTGTCTTGCTACAGCCCCATGGGTGAAGCTATGCTCACCTGTTCTTTTGTAATATAACCCCTTGCCCTGTTTAGGATAGAATCTTCCATGGAAGTGCCTAGTGTGTCCCCTCCTCTTACTGTGTCCTTGGGTGTGGCCTACCCAGGTGTCAGTCAACCTGCTGACAGTGGACATCATGAAAATAGACTCAGCCCCCTGAAACCTGACCCCTTACCTCATTTGAATAGCTTCTCCTCAATAAAAGGGGTCGGAGCCTGCTCTCTCTCTCCTTTTCTGCTGACCCTTAAGGTCAGAGGAGCCGTCACAGCAACCCCAAAGAAAAAGGTGTTTGTGTCTCTTGTGTGGTTATTTCGTGCAGCCCAGTTAGCACAGTTTAACTAGAGTGACCCCTGAGCCTTTTAGTCGCGAGAACAGAAACCCGGCAGTAGTACAGTGGTAGAGCATCCCTGGGTTCAATCCCCAGTACTGGGAAGGGGGGGGATTGAGGTGAAATAATTGTATAAGTAATTTTAAAGCTCTAGTTCACAGTAGTATTTTTTTGCTACATTTGTAAAAATTTTCTTTTTCCATTTTGAAGTCTATTGGATCCATGTATGAACTGAAGTGTGCTATGGTTTGGGTATTGCTTAAATATGTGTCCGCTGAAGGTTCCTGTGTTGAAATTTAATCCCCTTTATGAAGTATTAAGAAAGTAAGGGCTGGCAGTATGGTTCCATGGCAGGGCACCTGCCTAGCATGTGCAAGGCCCTGGGATCAATCCTTAACACTGAAAAAACAATGAAACTTTTATCCCAGGTATTCCAGAGGTTAAGGTAGGTGATTCAAAGTCAGGCTATACAACACAGAGAGATCTCTCCCACACGACAGACTCTTAATCCAAGTATGGTGTCCAGAGGTGAGGCCTTTTGGAATAGTAATTAGTATTAAAGTCACCAGGATAGAGCTCCCATGATTGAATACTGTGGCTTTATAAGAGACACACAAAGATGAGTGGTGGGAATATGAAGTAAAGGGAACAATTTTACAAAACAGACCTATTGTGCTGACCCCCACATGCTTTGGAACCCAGGGCTTTGCGAACACAAGGCAGACACTTTGCCACTGAGCTACATCCCAGCCCTATGCTTTCTTTTCTAAGAAGCAATTAACTGGCAGCCCTGCCTGGTTCAGAATATGTTACATTCCTCAGCAAACTACCTGTTACCTGCAGGAGAAATGCAGGCCCAAAATGCTGGTAAGAAGAACAAAAGTTACCCTGAAGGTGGGGACTTTTGTGACCTTCCAAGACCAGATCCCAGAACTCAGGGAGATAAGGATAATTTACCCTCACCATAAAATCTGTTAAGAACAGGTTCCAATTCAAACTTTTTGGCATGTGACAAAGTGACCTAGAGTTGTCATGGCAGTTTGATATCATTCTGCTATCAAAGTCAAGAGGTGGACGTGGGCAGGACTCTGGAAGCTTCCCTGGGACTACCAATATAACTGGAAGGCAGGAGAGACGTGTTAAAAAAAACCTCCCTCTCTCGAAGGACCCACTTTCTCCCTTGAAAGTGTCCCTTTTCCTCCTTTCCTATCTGTTCTAATAAACTCAAGCCTGTCACTCTGAGTGACAAGTCTGAAATCATTCTGACTTGATCACAAGAATTGGGGTTTGAAAGGGTTGTGTGTGTGTCTTCATACTGTCTCAGTTTCCCAGAAAGCCCTAGCCTTATAACAATAGGATAGAGTATGATACCAGAGGATACACAGGTATTCTTCCCAACTCTCACTGTATGATACCCCGTACTACTGTGGGACTCTTAACAGTAAAACACCATCATCAGATGCAACCCTGTGGTCCTGTACCAGAATCATGAGTTAAAATAAACCTTTCTAAAAAAACAACTTACCCATCCTGTGGTACTGTGTTATTAGCAACAAGAAATAGACTAATATAAATGTATTTCTCAGTAGGCAAGGAAAATTATTTTTATAGTTTTTTAATTGTGTAAGGGGCTTTTGGGAAAAAAAGATGTGGTATTTGTTGTGACTTTCCTACTGGCCTTACATAGCAGGTACCGGTTATCATTTAGTGATTTTATCAATTGTACCCTTCTAAGAAAGAAATACCAGTTTGTATCTCCTTGCAATGCCTAATCAAACAACTAGTTCAGATTGTCATGGTTGGGAATATTAGGAGATACTCTGACTCTCCTCTACTCTGGAACATATTCTTATAAGATCTCACTTGTATAGTAGGCTCTTTTGTTCATACTGGTAGTTACTGTGCTCCTTAGTCAGCAAGACAGCTACAATGAAGCAGTAAACTACAAAATAACTTGTTTCCTCTACCACATTTTGCAGTGACTGCTCTTACCCAGTTCTTTCAAGTCAGGCAACTTCCTTATACTGGAAAGATTTGGGGTGTTTCCTACTATAGTTAAATGTAATCCTACTATTTTATTTTCAGTTTGATTATGTGATTAAAAGCAATATGCAGGGCTAGGGTTGTAGCTCAATGGCAGAGTGCTTGCCTAGCATGTGTGAGGCACTGGGTTTGATCTTTAGCATGGCATAAGAATAAATAAAATAAAGGTATGCTGTCCATACACAACTACCAAGAAATTTTTTAAAGAAGCAATATACAGGGGCTGGGGTTGTGGCCCAGAGGATGAGCGCTTGCCTAGCATTTGTGAAGCAGTGGGTTCGAGCCTCAGAACCACATAAAAATAAAATAAAGGTATTGTGTCCACCTACAACTAAAAAATAAATGTTTTTTTAAAGCAATATGCATTTTCTGAAACAAAAAGTCTGTATATTTCTTACAAATATATAATGATTTTTACTATTGTCTTTTTTTATTTATTGCCAAGATATATTAAAATATACTTTCGTGCAAGGCATGGTATTGTGTTCCTGTAATCCCAGTTCTCAGAAAGCTGAGTAAGAGAATCACTTGAGCCCAGAAGTTGGAGGCATTGTGGGTAACAAAGCAAGATTGACCTCAACTCAAAAAAAAAAAAAACTCTTTGCAAGTAAAAAAATAAAATATTGGCTAAAATGTTAATGTAAATATTTACACTTCACTTTTTCTTTTTTGTTTTTGTTTTTTTTTTTTGTAATGGGTATTGATCCCAGGGTGCTTTACCACTCTAGTCCTTTTTATTTTTTGAAACAGAGTCTTGCTTAGTTGCTGAGGCTGATCTTATACTTGGATCCTCCTCTCAGTCTCCCAAGTCACTGGTATTATAGTGGTTACCACCACCATATCCAGGTAAAATCCTTAAATTTTTGTAGCACTAATCATGTTCATTGGGCAACAAGATAAAACAGAGAACTACTGATCATTTTTTTTTTCATAAATGCCAAAACCTCTCCCTAGAAACTTTTCTGTTTTTCTTTTTTTTTTTAGGTTATAAAACTTGGTATCATCTTTGACTTTTTTCCATCAGTTATTCCTTTGTGATATCTATTGATTCAAAATGTTTCCTACAGTTTTCCAGGCTTCCCAGTTTTCAGTGTGTTGATGACCATCCTGGGCCTTGAAACATGCAACCGTTTTTTGTTCTTCCTTTGACAATCTTAAGGTTTTAAATACCACCTCTAAGATGAATACTTCCAGACACCCACAAAATCTTATGCAAAGCAAATGCCATCTACCTCTTTGGTTTTAACCACTCTTCTTCAAACTAACTCAATCTAGCTACATTGGTCTTATTGCTGTCCCTTTAAACAACCTGGTATGGTCCAATCTTGGGGCTTTCTGCATGGGCTGTTCTTCCTTCAAATATCATATAAGCAACTTCCTCACTTCTTACAGGTATTTGCTCTGTCAGTGTGGCCCATTTAATCTTTAAGATTAAACATCATTCCCTTTCAGCAACTTTCCATCATAGTGACTTTCTTTTTTTTTTAATATTTATTTATTTATTTTCAGTCTTTTAGGTGGACACAGTATCTTTATTTTATTTTTATGTGGTGCTGAGGATCGAATCCAGTGCCTCACACATGCCAGGCAAGCACGCTACCACTTGAGCCACATCCCCAGCCCCCATCATAGTGACTTTCAATTTGTTTCCCAACCAACATCAACATCATCATATAGAAACTTGGAAATGTGAATTCATTAGTCACACCCTCAATTTACTGAGTTGGAAACATCTGGTGTAATTTGTGGTGCCAGTAATTTGTGATTTGATTTTGTTTTGGTTTGTGGAGCTGGGATTGAACTCAGGGCCTCATGCATTCATAATCTGTGTTTTCACAAATCATTCTGCAGTTGGGTAGACATAGTTCAGTGACTGTACCTACAAAGAACAAGGACCTGGGTTCAATCCCCAGGACTACAAATAAATAAATAAATAAATAAATAAATAAACAAATAAATAAATAAACAAACTAAATAATTAATTTGTCTCCACAGAACTCCTTTCACCATTTAACATACTTATTTTATTTCAATTTTATGTGCTGGGGATTGATACCAGGAGCGCTTTACCACTGAGTTACATGCCCAGTCCTTTTTAATTTTGAGACAGAGCCTTGCTGAGTTGCTGAGCCTGGCCTCAATTGTCCATGTCACCTTATCCCCACTCTGCTGCAATACAGCCCCAAGAAGGTTCGCTAGCAGGCACCAATTTTTTTTCTTTCTTTCTTTCTTCTTTTTATTTTGGTACCAGGGATTGAACTCAGGGGCACATAACAACCGAGCCACATCCCCAGCACTATTTTGTATTTTATGTAGAGACAGGATCTCACTGAATTGATTAGCACCTTATCATTGCTGAGGCTGGCTTTGAACTCAATCCTCCTGCCTCAGCCTCTGGAGCCGCTGGGATTATAGGTGTGTGCCACTGAGTCTGGCTTAGGCACCCAATTTTTAAGAAAAATTAAACCTCAGAATATTTTATCAACTTTTTAAATTCATTCACCATGACTTTGGGCATATTCAATTTTAGAGATTTAATTCCTCGTTAAACATTAAAATCTTGATTTGGAGAATGAGAACACTGGTTCTGAACTTAATGAAAGTTTACTTCACTTTCCTGAAAGATTATGAAACTTTATTTCACTTAGTTTAAATTTTTTTATAATTAAAAAATATTTTTAAAATTCTGTTATTCAGAAATGGTTTTATTCTAAAAAGATATTAAATACCATTTCTGGATCCTTTTTACTTTTTTTTAAACAAAAAAATTTCAGCACACTCAAAAGACATTAATACAATGAACCTTCATATATTCAGATTCCAATATGTAATTTAATTATCAAGATTACTATATACCTGTTTTAAAATCTTTTTTGTTATTTGTACTTTCGTTTTCCCCCACCATGAACATATTATGATAGAAAAAAAATATTTTTGTAATGACTCAAAACATATGAATTTCCTTTCTCTAAAAAAAAAGCAAAGCATATGTCTAATGGTTAAAGCCAGCTATACATACTATACATAAACAGCTAACATTGATGATCAAGAGGAAAATCTGTAATTTGGAAAAATACTAGAGAGATCTGAATAAGAATATAATTTACTTCATTTCCAATACTTTTCTTTAATGTCTTCCTAATGATATTTTTAAATCTGTCTTGCCCATTCTTCTTGTAGTTTACAAACTGGTAGCACCTTTTCTTAGAAGTTCCACAAGTACCTCAAAAATTAAACCTAGCCCAAGGAGGTGGTGGCACACCTGTAATTCCAGCAACTTCAGAGGATTCAAGGAAAGAGGATTTCAAGTTCCAGGCCAGCTTGGGCAATGAGACACTATCCCAAAATTTTAAAAGTAGCTCAGTAGTAAAGCAGCTTGCCTAGCATATGTAAAGCCCTGGATTCAATCTTCAGTACCATAAAGGAGGGGACATAATTTATTATTTTCACTTGCTTATCTCTTCTCTTTTATTCCCTTTCCTGGTTAATAGCATAACCATCCAGTTTCTCGAGCTAAAACCCAAGGCATAATTTTCTTTTTTTTTTTCAGAAAAATTTAACAGTTTTATTTATAATTGTTATAAAGTTGAACTGCTGAAACCCGATCACTGAAAGTTTTTGATTTGCATTAATGCTTTGTATCCCAGCATTTATATTAAAAATTGCCACACAAATGAAAATGGAAAAACGGCTAATACCTGATTTCTGTCTCCTATTTTTCCACTAGCTTAGGTACCTTTTGACCCCTGAGGAAAAAAAAAATCTAACTTTCAGAACTATCAATAACAGGAAGCACCAAGGCATAATTTTCAATTCCCACTCCCATACTTAACCAAGGTCTACAGATTCTACCTCCTGTCTTGAAACCTCTCCTCTCTCACTCCTGTCTTAATTCAGATCTTCTTCACCTCCTGCAATCATAGATTTTCTCACTACAAAGATCTTCCTTCTCTAGCCCAAACACCAGATTATCTTCCTAAAAGGTAAATGGACAACATATTCCCTATTAGTAGCTTAATATTCCCTATTCAAAAATCCTCCAGTGAGATCACACAATGCTCTAAATTAAGTTCTCAATTCCTCTCACTTGCCACCCATTCAATCTAGCCATGCCTAGAATGGTTTTCCTACTCCACTTCTTTATCAACAGCATTGAACAAAGGGTTGCTGGGCTAGGGGTGTAGCTCTGTCACAGAGCTCTTGTCTACATGGATGAGGCCCTGAGGTTCCAGCCTCAGCACCACAAAAAAGTAGTAAGGGCTACTAACTTGAAGTTAGAGTATCTCATTCCTAAAATCCGTTACAACTTCGTGTTTCTACCTAATTGCCATTCAATGCTTAATTAATTATTCGTTAAAATCCCTATTCCTCAAGGACTATGAGGCAGAGGTGTTTATTTTCTTTATCTAGAACAGTGTCTGGCCCAGAAAGCCAGACATTAAATGTTTTCTGAAATTATCAATGAGCAAATGAGAACTCCTCCACAAGGACTGGGACATTGTTTCATTCACTATTACAAATCCCAGGCCCTAAAACCAACTCCCGAAATAATGGGGACAAAATAAACATTTTCTGAATTAACTTAAATTGTTTTCTAATTATTGGTCATATCTGAAAACTTTGCTTTGAATTCAAATCTCATTAGCCTTCTGTCCTAGAGCTGTTTGGAGTGGTTAGGGATGGGGAAAGAAGATTCTCAACTTGCGGTCAGGGCTGTTCAGAGGATCGCTCAGAAATGCTGGAAACGACAGCAAAATTAAGCAGGATGCCAAAATCAGTTCTACGGTTAACATTCCTGTAAATCCTAATAGGAACAATACTGAAAGAATAATTGTGGCCCACACGTAGTACAGACACACACAAAAATCAAATAGAAGATACAAAAGAGAAAGGGAGAAACCATCAAGTATCAAAGCAGACAGTCTACAGGTTGTAGGGTTTGGGACATGTGGAGGTGGGGACTAGTTTTGTCTATACCTAGGGAAGCGTGGGGTGATGGTGGGCCAGGGTTCAAAGGAAAGCACTCATGGGAAACAAGAGATGTCACTACAAAGGATCTCAAGGGCGTGTGGCAGCACTTACCACCTCGCCCTGCTCCGCGGACTTGTACACTCCTGACACCATCTCGTTGTGCAGAAGCAAAAACAATGCCTCGTCCGCCATTTCCTGCTTATTCTTCCAAGCTCCGGGTTTCTGCTCCGGTTTGGGCCGGTCCCAGGGTTTCAAGCTTGCGCCAGAACAACTTGATCTGCGCCTCGCTCCGTCAGGCTCGGTCCCCAGTTGCTAGGAAACCGAAGAGTGCGCCGGTTTCCTAAAGGTCGGTACTGGGGAAAGCCGGATACCTGGGAGAGCGAACCCCGCAGGGCCAAGCCCTAGGGTCTAGCGAGAAAGCCCGACCGTAGGGCAAGCCAAACCAAAACCGCAGAGACCCGATCCCGCCCCAGGACGGGGGGCAAAGAACCCACTTCCGGTCCCCTCTACCCCGGTATTTCGTCGACTCTATGGTCGCGGAGTTCCTTTGCCAGGCCCCGGGTGAATCTCCAGCACCCTAAGTGAAAAAAGGTTCCTCCCCCTTGCTAAGGCGGGGTGTTGGACCGGTAAGAGTGAAGAGTGGAGGGTAAAAGGTTTAAGGAGCTCCGAGAGCTAGTCCTAGGTTAAATCCCCAGTGCCGCGAAAAGGAAAAAGGAAACTCTGGTTGCCATCTCCGTACTAATTTGCATAAAATGCAATTTGACAAGAATGTTTTCTTGACTTCATCAACTATTCCATTTCCTGCCACATGTTCTCTAATATGAAAGGTTATAAAGAGTGAATAAATCATCAATTTTCAGTCTGCAAATTTTAGATATATTGAGAAGTTAGACCAATCCATATTGGAATAAGTCCAGGAATGCAAGATTTAAAGCCATTTTGGCTAACCAAAAGTTTACTGGTTGTGTGGTGCAAAGGAAGGGGAGGGACAAGAGGCAGTGAAGGTATAAGCAAAAGACAAGATTCTTGAACAAGAAAATATAAACTAATCAGAGGATTGAGTAAATGAGATAGTGCTAAAGAATTTGGAAAAGTTGTCCCTGAGATGGAGCTTCTAAGCATCTAAGACAGATTGAGACTTAACTCCACAGAGAGGCAAATACACATGCTACATATTACTTTTATTTATTCACTTTTGTAGTGCTGGGGATTGAGCCCAGGGCCTTACACATATAGGCAAATGATCTACCACTGAGCTACAACCTCAGCCCCCAAATTACATTTTAAATTTGGCAAACTCTGGCTTAAACATATTGCTTAGCCTGTGATTAGTTCTTTGCTTTCTAATCATAAAGTGGATTTTTCTTTCAAGCATATTCACTGCTTCTCCCAAATTTACATAAAAATTTTTTTCAAGTTGTTATCAATAACCTCCTGCCAAAGGCCAATGTCTCTGCTTGGCACCAGAATCACGAGGCACTCACAGCTTTGTAGGTTCAAACAGCAATTCTTTATTCCAGCTCTCACACCGCCTCCACACAGGTCCAGGGGCAAACTCGTTCTACCGTCTGCCCGCACAATTCACCTACTCCACAAGGCTATTTCCAAATCCCATTTTAATCTCACGAGAACTCAAAGGGAACAAGCAACAGGAACACCCTAATCCCAGCAATAATCTTCAACCTCCAACTTCCCTAAAACCCATTATCTTAAACTGGCAACGCCTTAAACTCAAGGAGCCGGTTACTTCCTCAAACCTGATCAGCTCTAAACCCGGATCCGCCTTGGTCCTTGAGCAAAGTCACCTTATTAAAGCATGCATGCAATGTCTCATCGAATGTCCTCTAAGCAGCATGGGGTACGCTTGGCAAGGAAATTTCGATGCATCATTCCTACTTGGTAATGGCCCTCAGCAACCTCCCACATCCAGACTCTTTTCATAGGAATTTAAGTTGATGTTCCTTAATTATGTTTTTTACATGTCTTTTCTGATATTTGGGTCAGTTTATTTCACTCATCACATAAATCAAGCATAAAATTTCCTAAGTTTTTTTTCCACCTAAGCTTTTGAGAACAGTAGTGTAATTTTGAAGACTATTTGCCACCATTATCTCAATGTTTTCAGCATTAAAGTTTTCCATATGTGTGAAATTAGATCCTTTATGTTCAGATAATTCTCACCGTCATCAAGGAACTAAGCCCACCACAGAGGTCAAAAAATAAACAGTTAAGCAATTTATTAAGGCTGATTTCCACACAACAATAACATGAGATTTTCATAATGTTTTGAAGAAGCCAATGGCACATACCTGTAATCCCAGTGATTTGGGAGGCTGAGACAGGAGGATCCCAAGTTCAAGACCAGCCTGAGCAACATAGTGAGGGCTTAAGAAATTTAGCAAGACCCTATCTCAAAATAGAAATTAAAAGCGCAGGGGACTGCCTGGAGTTATACTCAGTGGTAGAGTGCTTGCCTCCCACATGTGTGGGGCCCTGGGTTCCATCTTCAGCACCATAAACAAAAATATTGTGCCCATCTACAACTAAAAAAAAAAAAAATTGCAGGGGATGTAACTCAGTGGTAAAGCAACCTGGGTTTAATTCCCAGTACCAAAAGGAAAAAAAAAAAAAATCTATTGGAGAACAAAGGAATTTAATATGTACTGAGGACCTACTAAATGATGAACACAGCATTGTACTGTTTATATTTCTTTAAAACAGACTGTTAAATCGCCCAGGATCCTAAAAATAGATTGTGTGGAAGCAGGAATATGAACCCCAAGTTTTTGGTTAAGTCTACAAGCATTTGCCTATGGGGGGAAAAAAATAGGACCTATTACTACACTCTCAACCCTTGGGTACTGCCTGAGGTTGTAAACCGTATTGTAATAATGACATGGCCATACTCACAATTCAATTAAGTAATTGCCATCATACCCCTAAACCAGGTCCAGCTCTACTTTTTTCTGTAACCTTTCTTGCTAACATGTCATGTAATTTATGTTTATTATCTGACTCCACACTTTTCCTCCCCACAGAGCTACTTCAGATTTTTCTTTTTGAGGTGCTGGGGATGGAACCGAGATATAGCACATCTATGCACGTGTTCTACCACTCAGCCACACCTCAGCCCCGGGAAATATTTTCTCAGCAACAATTTGTACATATATTTCTGGAGCAAAACCAGTTCCCATGTTGGCAGAACCAGAAGCTGGAGGATAGTTACTTCACAAATAGGGCTGCTCCCCCAGATCATGTATTAAACCAACAAGCTCAAGGTCAGGTGAAACGGCCTGACTCTCGCTTTTTCCCTTTAGTAGAGCCTTGCAAAGGTTCTAATCAGACTGATTCTTGACTGGCATAACCCCCAATCTCAATTTCCCAATTAATAATAACAAGCATTGTATCCAAGGTTTTAATTTCTGAGGAAGAAGGTACGTAAAGCCTTTCACAGAGCGTCCACAACAAAACTAGCCTACACAATTGTTAGCTATCACGACTAATGACTTCCTATTCGTTTTGTGCTTCGCCCACTTTAATCAAGGGAAGCGTGCGCACAACTCCTCTCTGGGCATGCGCATCAACATAATGGCCGCGCCCTTTCGTAATTAAATCATTGAGGTGAGGCAGACTAGCTTCTGCCCAGCTCAGTATAATTTTGTGGTTAAAACAATTTAAGGCACGTCACAACGCAAGCTAAAAGTGATAGAAAGCTCCACACCCTCCTTGCCAGAACTGCGGCACCTGCGAACTCGCGACCGGAAAAATCAGGGCCTCTCAAGCCCGCCCGGCTCTGCGCTAGAAGCCTAGAAGCCGAGCCAAGCCACCCGCAGCTAACTGGGGTGGTAGCAGACCGCCTTGCCGATTTTTCATTGGCCCAGGGTCACAAAGGCTGGAAGCTTCTCCCCCTTCCGGTTTCTGAGTGGTTGAGGCTAAAAAACAACGCCTATTATCATTGGCTGAACCCTGCTGTCAGTCGTTTCGCGTCTCGTGGCGCGGCATGGCTCGGCGCGGCCTATAGAGCAGTGTCAAAGCCTGCTGCAGGGAGAAGATGGCGGTCGCAGTGAGAACTTTGCAGGAACAGCTAGAAAAGGCCAAAGAGAGCCTAAAGAATGTGGATGAGAATATTCGCAAGCTCACCGGGAGAGATCCGAATGACGTGAGGTAAGGGCCGAACGGGAGCTACGAGCTCGAAGAGGCATCTCAAGTCTATGTGAATTGGGGACGGAGAGGTCGGCCCTCTCTGAGAGGGCTGGAACATCCAGGCCTGTTCCCCGGGCGGCGGTAGAACCCCGTCCTCGGCGGGGTGGGGAACCTCCCGGCTCCCACTGTAGAGCGCTGGGCCTAGGTACTTGCGGAAGGAGAGGGAGGCCTGGTAGCGCTAGGATGGCCTCCCGACCTGTGAGGAGGCCCGGACTGCCGATTCCCGCCCTCGGCGCTGCAGGCCCGGAACTACAGCACAAAGCCCATTCACGCTGCCGCGGCCACTCGGCCCGGCCTGGCCCGGAGACCCACCTGGGCCACACTCGGCTATTTCGCACACAGGCTGTGGACCAGGTGCCACTTTCTTGGGGATGGCGGGCTAGGGCCCGACTCAGGTTTCTTAATGTGTGGTGGCATCGAGTCAGTGTAAATTCTGAGATAGCGGTCTTGGAAAAAGAAGGAAATTTAATGAAATTATATTTCCCGACCTGCTTTAAAATACATAGATATTAAACCGTCATTTTAGAACGATTGTTATTTTTTTTCCCTGTGATGTACTACATCTGTGAAAGTGCCCTAGATGTGTCTACATATGATTTTTTTTTAATTGATTGTAAATCTTTTGTAGGCCCATCCAAGCCAGATTGCTGGCCCTTTCTGGTCCTGGTGGAGGTAGAGGACGTGGTAGTTTATTGCTGAGGTAAGATTTCCTTAAGACTTAAACTCGTACTGTAACTGTTGGTACTTCCTATGTTAATGTATTTGAACCAAATTCATGCAAATATTAGAATAACAGTGTTTGTGTTATCTTTATTTTGTTTAATGCTGTGATATGCTAGTTTTCTGTGTAGTTATCCTGCATATTCATTTGTGTGTGCACTAGGGATTAAAGAGTATATTTACTGTTATATATAAACTTAATTGTACTTTTTAAAGTAATATAAAACTCTTTTGGAGGGGTGGATGTTGCCTATTGCATGCACTAAGGGGGGCTTTTTGGAGTGAATGCTTATTTAAGGCTACTTCAGTGGGAAGACTTTGTTTTTTCTTTAATTCAACCAGATTTTCTTGCAAGTGGAAATACCAGTTCTGTCTTTGTATTTCAAGTGCTTTTATATTGGACATTTTTAATTGCAGGCGTGGATTCTCAGATAGTGGAGGAGGACCCCCAGCCAAACAGAGAGACCTTGAAGGGGCAGTCAGTAGGTATGTTTAAAAAAAAATAAAAGGTTACTCTGTGGGGAGGGAACATGCCTGTAATCTCAGAAGCTAGGGAGCTAACATAGAAGGATGGAA